ATAATTCTATTCTGTTGTAGTCTTTAATTATAAATTAACAATTATTTTATTTTATTTCACATTCTATATTCTAGAAAATATTTTATAATAATTATGACGTGTGTCTTACCCAATAAAAGCTTTTTTGCCATTATAGAGAGAAAGTCCGTAAACGGTACAAAGTGCCACGATGAAAGCTTGTTTCATAAAGTCATATGTCGTAGGATATTTGAAAAGTTCGTAGTCCATTGATTTGGGAAGGATCTTTGCCCTAATTTTTTCGACGCTTACATCCTGCGAATTTCGTTCCCATTTTGCGGACAATCGATCATTAGATGCAATCCTAGAAATCATTCTCTCTGCAGACAATGCTCGTTGTTCGCGATTTTGTTCAGGAACATGAGAAGCTCTGATGACTCGACGAAGAGAGGCGAGTCGGGATGGATCTTTGACATTCAGATTCGATGATCTATGACGCAATTGTCTAATAGAATCTTTTTCAAGAAATTCGGTAAATCGATTCTCAACTGATCGAGCTACTCGGCGCTCCTTTAGACCTCTGATCTGTTGATCGCGTCGCGCATCCAATCTCTTTTCCAATGAATGAACGACTCTTTTCTCGTAAACTGCTGCTCCGTTCGCTCTGCGATCCATCATTCGCATCGAGATTGTATCGCGTAGTTCAGAGTTACGTTCCACGCGGCGATTTTGCATCCTGGATCCTTCGCGTAATCTCGAGCTGTCGTCGATCCTTCGCTCGAACGATTTTCCTGAATTAACAGTAGATCGTTTTTCCAGAATCCTTCCACGAGAAATTCGCAACTCCGGGTTTCGTTCCAGACGTCGGTCTGTCATCCTGGATGCTTCGCGCAATCTCGCGCTCTCGTCGATCTTTCGTTCAGACGATCTTCGTGAATCGCGTTGGTCTAAGACTCGTCTTTCCAGAGTTCTCCTAGACACTCGTCCAATTTGTTCACGAGATTGCTGCGGGATCCTTCGTTCCTCGCGAGATCGATACACGCGGTTCGTCCTTTCTCGTCGCTCCGGAGTTAAATCTCGTTGCTCCCTTGAAGAATCGTGCGATCTACGATCTCTAGACTCTTTGATCTTCGCAAATTCCCGACGATACATCGAATTACGATCTACGGAACGGGAAGATCGAATGTTTCTCTCTCTTCGTTCCCGACTCGAAATGTCTTTGAAATCGTTAACTGAACGTGCTGGAATAATAATAGAATTATCTCTCACAATATTTCCGCGCGAATCACGTTGGCTCACGATCCTCTGCGAACGATTTATCCTTTCTCGACGTACGTCCTCGGACGGAACTCGCGACGTCATTCGATCGAGAGATCTTCGACCGGTAAGACGATTCTCAACCCTTTGGTGCTCGATACGATTTATTTCCATAGATCGAGCCAAAGATCTACGTTGGGAGGATGATCTAGATCTCTCGATGTTCGAATCAACCGATCTGACTCGCCTATTAAGTGTCTCGCGGTCGAAATCGTTGATACGTTCCATCGATCGAAACTGCGACCGACGATCGTTGGATCTAACGAGATCTTTACGAGAATTCCTGGTGACAATCGAAGCACGTGATCTGCGTTCTTGATTAGCAACTCGATCCAGAAGGGCGCGGCGGGTGTCAAGGGATCGTTCTCGATTTCGGCGATTCAGATTATTGTTACGATCGATGTCCCCTCGTGCGATGTCTTCCGAACGAGCTTTCGGAAGACTTTTGCGATCTTCGCGACGATTCGATCGTTCTGCATCTCGACGTTCGACAGATCGTACTCTACGCTCGCGCATCTCAGATCGATGGTCCAGGCGAGTTCGTGTCAGATCTCGGTATTCGCGACGGACAGCTAGAACATCGCGCGATTCTTGCCGATTGATTTCACTCGGTTCTCGTCGTTCCATCGAGAGTGATCTGCGATCATTTGTACGAGGCTGAAGATTCGGAGAAATTCGTCGGCCCGTCGATCGATCGACGCGATTTTGGCGACGCGCGATTTCGTTGAACTCGCGTCGTTCCGTGGATCGTGATCGGGAATTCGTACGATCGGTCACACGACGTTCCAAATCTCGCACGATAGAACGACGATCGGTCGCACGGTTGGATAAATCCTGCGATCGAGAGAGCCGAGTGGCGGGATCGTACGAGTTCCTGGCGTTGCGGGATTCCACGATGGTCCTAAATCGAGATTCTCGAAGTCGGTTGACGGATTCGTTGTCAGATACGCGAGTCCTGGATCTTGAGAGCCTCTCAATCGCCCTTACATTTCTGGACGATCGTTCTTCAGTCTCCCGCGAACCGATCCTAGACAAGCGATCGAGACTCAAAGATCGAGAGAGCGCGAGTCTTCGAGATATAGGTGATTTGGGTACTTTAATTTCATGATCGTTAATTGGTTTGGGAGCTATTTCCGGCTCGGTAATCAGATGTGCAGGCGTTTTGGCGAAAGGATTTAAGTTTGGACAGGCGTCCACCCTAGAAATAATAATGCTTCTGTAATTTTTATTATAAATAATTTTAAAAAACATATATAAAGATATTAGATATTTTTAGGAAACGTTTATGAAACCAACATGTGCTGCTTGGATACGATTTATAAGAGAAAAAATAATCTGTTTTTGATCTAAAATGCTGCTTATAATAAATTAATGATATTTAAATCAAAAATTAAAAAGGGGTAATAATAATATAAAAAATA